TCATAAAACTCTCTTTCTGACCTAGAAAAACCTTTTATCACAGCCAGATTTGAGAACCTCAATTAAATAAAACGTCCAGCCTAACATAGTGCCCCATATGTAGGGCACTTGTTCGGCGCTTCATTATCTAAACATCCCAAACTTTATAAGAGAAGTCTTAATAGTCTAGGGAGCAACATGGTGTGAATTTGAAAATAATGTCATTTATTCGCTCTATTTTAATTACAAGAAGGAAAGGAGTGAAGCCTCTGAGGTCCTCTGGTTGACCATCTAAGCTTTTGTTTTCAATTATTCTCAGGGAAAAGTGCCCCTTTGTTCTCTGGAAGGACAGTGCAACTGCCAAAAGGCATTCAGATGCCATGGAGACACATAGTTGCTCAGTTGGATCAGCCAATCTAAACTGATACTCTAAAAATGGTCAACCCCACCCCCAGACTTTGAGCAATAAACCAAACTTACAGAGCTGAAGTTCGTATCGCGGTGAAACCAGTCATGACCCAGATGTTAGCTACTTCCCCATAACACACAGGTCTTATTTTTAAAGCCTTTATTCTTTTTTTTTTAATATTGTAAGACAGTTTCCTTGATAAAGAATCATTCAACACACTTTTCTGAATAACATTTGTGACACATGTTTTCTAGACAATTAAACTTTAGTTGTTTTGTTTGTTTACAGAACTCAGTCTTTGAAGACGGCAATAATGTAATTACCGCTACAGCAGGTCTTTAAATGTAGCTATACACCCAAATGAACAGGGAGTGAGAGAAGATTAAGTGATTTTGCTTTCAATAGGATGTTTGATTTATGCCAGCCATCATTACTGAAGATATGTAAAGCTTACACAAAATCAACAAAACCAAACAATTTACTACATAATACCAGTTTACTCTTTACATCTGAGCGATGAATGCTACATTTAAAGTAATTCTTCTTATTGTCCTACAGCATTCTACAGATCAGGATATACTTTCAGATTACGCTGTTTCACATTTTGAATTCATCTCCCTGCATTTGAGAGGATATGGAAACACATCTCTTAACTGGAAAGAACAAAGGCAGGAGTCTGAAAGAATTCCACACAGAAACGCACAGTAGCAGGACTAAGTAAGAGTATCAGACAAAGACAGGCTGCAATTTTTACTCATGGCCCTCAGAACAGATACACCTTTCTTTCAATTCCCCACAGAATGTTTGGCACAGGGCAAGAATGGTCAAATTGCTAGCCTATAAGGCAACTGTATCTGGCCCTGACAGATTCTAATCAAGGTCCAGCTTTTTAAAAGTCTGTAAATGGAAAAAAGTTCTCTTTGGGTTTTGCAGGAAAAATCCGAGCATGTTTGCTTTACAACTTTTAAGCCTTCCTGATACAGTACATGCACTGATTAAATCTGGACCACAATTCAGGCCCTCTGACAACTATCTCTAGAAGAGTTGCCACAGAGAATACAAAAGGGAGGAATCCCTATTCAGGGGAGGAGTGAATAAAAGTTGCTGGAAGGAATCTAGTGACACAGACACATTGAATCCTCAGACACTGCTGAATTCCAGCCCCCAGAATGCCCATATAGCACAGCCAACAGTCAGGGATTCTGGGTGCTGTAGTTCAGCAACATTTGGAGTTCCAAAGTTGAGAGCCACTGGCTGACAGTCCAGTCCTAACTAGCCAAAATGGCTGAGCTGACACTAATTCTGCTGAGGTTGGGTTGAATTCAAGCCCCTATGATATCAGGGATCTCAAAAATTACTTAGGGCTATCCTGATCCAAGTCTCTGTTGACACAGTAGCTCCAACACTGGGTGGAATTTGGATTTGGCATAACTCAGTTCCTCTTCTTCTCCACCTCCTCTCTTGGTTCTTGTGCCAGATGATCCTTATTAGCACAAAGACAGTTATGCCAACACAAGAGCAGCTATGATGGCTCAAGAGGCTTCTGCCCATTCCAAATCCACTACAGCCGGTATATCTTTGAGTTTGGATTGCACTGCCAGATTATTTTTATATTTCTGGGAAATAGTTCTATACTAGGCTAGTAGCCACAACAGCAAAATGCAACCCCTGTGCTTTCAAATATTAGCTGATAGAAATAAAAGGCTTCCCAGAATACTTTATCCTGCTGCAGTTAGGAAATGGATGCTGGATGAGATCCATTATATGCTTCAGACACAGAATATTACTGGGAGATAAAATCTATTCAAGCCACCCTACTGCAAAATGCAGGATTCTTAGGCTTGTCCAAACTCACAGAAGTCATTAGAAGTGTGCTGGTTTTTAGACTCATTTCTATATTTTTAAAACTGTAATTTAACCACTACTATCTGTCCCAATCTTTTTTCCACAATATTGGTATTCCTTCTACCAAAGAACAAGCTGTTCAGTACAATTCAAGAACTCAAAGACTGAGTAGCAATATCAATATCAAAAACATTGAAATAACATCTTCATGTTATCTAAACCATCCTATACCTGACACAATGACATCAGCACAAATACATTAGTAAGTAAACATACAAGTAAGACTGTGTATCATACATGTTTCCCCACACAAAATGTACAAAGCTCCTTACAACAATGTCTTCATATTTAAATAGTATAGCCAAAGTTGACTGAGTGGTTAATGATGGCTGAGAAATCCATCCAATAGTCAGCAAGCACTTTTAATAAGGTTTGTATTTATTTCTTGACATCTCAAGAGAAATAAGTAAGTTTCACAGTATATATCATGCAGCCCCTTATATATGGCCCATGCAGAAGTTCCTGCTTCTTCTCTAGTCATGTCTATTTACTGAAAGTGACTTGCAAACTGCTATCTGAATCACAGCTGATAAACTGGGTTAAAAACGCAGCCAACTATCTTCAAGCATGACAAACGACAACTACTGTATGGAATAAGTACAAAAGGAAACATGCAGTCAAATTCTACAGACTTGAGAATGTAACTCACAGGAAAACCTATATACCAACTTCCAGTGCTATCGAAAGAAATATCCCAATCTGAGTGGGCAGGAATGAACTCAAGTCTTTTGAGCCAACACAACTGCCCTTGTACCAGCTGACCTCAGACTTGCCTGCACAAATGTTCTTCTGGCTAAGATCAATCAGCAGAAGAGGGGGAAAGGGGGCAGAGAAGAGGAGGAACTGAGTTACATCAGATCCAAACTCCTTCCAGGCCAGACTCACAGTCAAGATGCCAGCAGTTGATCAGTTAGGCCAGGATCAGGGTAATCCTAAGTAATGTCCAACATGCCTATGCCCAAGACATTTGGAATCAGTGCTGTCTCAGCTGGCCCAGTGTCAGCTTTGCCCTATATGCACAAAGAGACCACCCTAACAGAACACATTGCTTGATTCCTTAAAAACATCCAGGCAAATAACATAAACCCTCACTCTCCATTTTTAGGCATTTGCAAGGTTTACCCTAACCCAACTGAAAATGACACAGATGATCCACACTCTTAGTAAGCAAAATTACAAACTTTTTGAAGTCACGCTAACCTTTGCATTAACGTCAAAGGAGCATCACATTACAGAAGATTCTGTTCAAAAAATATTCTATCATTTTGTCACTTGAACATTCGAAACTTAGAGTTTCAAAACAACAGAGCCACATACACCTAAACCAGATATTGAATGGGTATCATTCCCGCTAAAAAGAGATGCCACACTTTTCAACTTATCTGTTAACACAACTGTGTTGCGAAATAACTTAATGGTTAGTTTTAAAGACAAACTGAGGAAAAGAAGAGAATCTTACCATGTGAGATCTCTCACTGAAACATTTGGGCATTAGTAACCTCAAAAACATCTGACAACACAATCCTATGCAATGCAACCTAGGAATTATGTCCAATGGAACTCAGTGGGAAGCACCCCCATGCAAGTGTACACAGGACAGTACATTGCAAAAACTTGCTTACATCTCAACCTGTCAATAGGAAGATAACCTCTAAGCAAATGCTCTTCTAGAGTCACAGAAAAAAATGAGAATCCTGTGTATTTTGAGACAACAAACTGGTTCGAAAATGCAGAGGCACTTGAAATTCAACCCAACAGATTACCTACAGCTTTGAAGTTTCCAGGGAGAAAGTGAAGGTGACTTAACACAAACAAGCCAAGGATCTACAGTGTTTGGGGTTTTTTAAAGCTTTGCTCTCAATTCTTCACCCACAACCCTTTTACAAGGACAAGAAAGCCTTGGAATAAAAAAAAACTTATTCAATGAACAAAATAATATCACTCCTATTCAGACAGACCTCTCTATCAGGCTTGTTAGGGGAAGTCAGGGCTTGCCCTTTGGCTGCTGCCCCAGGTGAGGAAGGCAGGCCCTCCTCCAGATACCCATCGAGTCAGCACACAAGGCATCTTTATTTCCAACCTCACACCCACCTAGTGCACCCCACACTTTATTCCTCTTCCGTGATGGAGACTAAAAGAAAGATGGAAAAAGAGGTAGGGCAGTACAAAAACAAATCCCGTTTCTGATTTGGGAAAAGGGATCATTTTAATATGACTATACAGATACCTTACCTTATACCCACCGTCTCTTTCTCCTTCTCTGGACAGCCTCCTAATCTCTGCTCTTCCCTAAAGACAAACAGCTACTAGATGGTTTCTCTCCCCACTTCGGGCTATATGGCCTTTGATGAAACGTGTGTGTGCTGGTTGGCAGGGTGTAAAGAAAGGACTGAGATGACCTCCCTAGGAGGTGTTGACAACACACCCCACCAAAGTGGAGGAAGTCTCCTTCCTCCCGACCTTTCCACCTTTCTCTGAAGGAGCCACCGCTGACTGGCTGATTGAACAAACTGGAACAGGGGAGTCAACAGAACTGCAGGTGTGCGCAATCTGTGAAGATCACTGCTAATCCATTAGGTACTAGAACCCCCTGCGGGGGGGGGGGGGGGGAGAGAGAAGAAAGAGAGATAATGCGAGAGAGGCTGGGAAGGCAGCTTCTTTCACGGGCGGAAAAAGGGGCTTCCTCGCCTTCCTCGTCCGCACTCACCTCTGCGCGCCTCTCCCAGCCGGCTGCCTCGGCTCCCGCCGCCCGCGCCTGCCTGCAGCCTAAGCGTCCGACCGGTTCCCTCTCCAGTGCCTCTAATGGAGGGAGGGGGGGCCAGCGGCAGGAGGGAGCTATCTGTTTACTAGCCAGTTCTCGCGAGAGGATGGAGCCGCGCCACAAGAAAGGCAAAGGAGAGCCGAGCGCCGCCGCCGATTGGCTGCCCGCGTCCGCCGTGGCCTGGCGAGGCGAAGGGTGACCCACGTGGAGCCGCTTATAAGGATGGGGAAATCGCTGCGGGCTCGTTCATGCCCGTGGGAGCCGATTTGGAGCACGCTTCGCTTCGAGAATGGTGTGCCTTTTATTTTCGAGGACTTTTATCGGCGGTGAGGTGCCGTGGTGTTGGGCTGCTGCGTTGGTGTGGAAGAAGAAACTAGTTTGTCGTTATAGGATCTGTTTTTTTTTACTTGCTTCTGACGAAATGGGCTGCCGCCCACAAAAGCTTGTGCCGAATAAAGCTAGTATTTCTTTTAAGGCGCCTTTAGACTCTTGTTTTCGTTGCAACAAATTAGCACGCACAACCCCCTCCCGAAAAAAAAAGTCTATTCTCAAATTTCTTGCAGCAGTTTTTCTTCTCTCTCTTCATGTGCTGAATCCGGCAAATGAACTATTAGATCAACTCTAAAACCGTTATGCCTTTAGGGTGATACTTTCCCCACCCCACTCCTTTAGATAATGGCCCCGATCATCTTGCTAGCCCCACTTTGAATTGGATCAGTTGTGGAAAAGTAAATCAACATTTACGGTAAATCCCACTCAGTCTGTGTATCTGTACTCTGATTTTGCTTGGCACTGGGGTACTCGCCTTTAGGGTAACATTATAGCTGTTAGTATTTTGAATACTGTACTCACATACTCTAGACTTTAGAGAAGCACTCTGATACTCTGTTACCAGTCAAAACAGCATTTCATAAGCCATTGCTGATAAAAGGGGCTAATTTCAACTTTTGAATGGCATCTTGTAGCAGGGCCATATTTGGCAAAGAAATTGTAGACAGTATGGGCTTTGTGCCAAGTTTGGAGAAGGTTGGACAGGTACTTCTAAAGTTCTAATTGTTTTGTTAGTCTTCCTTTTTAGCTACTTACCATCGTCATGTAGCCCATAGCAAGTTCGGTAGTTTGTGTTTTTTTTCAAATGCCAACCACTGCTTCCTCAAAAGAAAATTATTTATACTGTATTATATGCTCTTTTTTAAAAGTTGATTTGTTCTGTCACTTAGAGAAGAAATGGGATCTTAAAGATTCTTGTTTTACATACGGAAACTGGCTGCACATACTTATCGAAGTATTCCAGAGCAACCGACTAAAGTTTGCAAACTTCAGGAAGCTAACAAGTCTCATTGAGGTGAATGTGGCTTCTGGGCAAAATGGTACATGGAGGCTAAAGCCTTAACAGAGGAATAAGTGTCTTTAAACAAATAAATGCACACAGAGGGGAAGGGGGAGGAGATGTGATGAAAAGAGGGAGAAGAGCAAGGAGGGAGGGAGGGGAGGAGAGATAGAGAATGGAAAGAGAATCAGGAGCCACAAAAGAAGGAGAGAAGAGAGGAGCCATAGAGAGAGAATAGACTCCTGGTAAGGAGGCACATGGGGGGGGGAAGCTATTTTGGGTAGGTGGGGGAGAAAGAGAAAACAGAGCCATGGAAAGAAGAGAGGACGGTACTCAGAGAGGTGCCAGAGACAAAAGCAACAGAGAAAGAAAGCAAGTTAGTAGCTTTGATAAGTATCTGTCAGACTTCTTTCTGAATACATTGGCAGGAAGGATCTCTTGTGGGCACAGTATTCAGAATGATTCTCTTAGGTTGATAATGCATACGTTCCAAAAACACTTCCACTACTTTTTTCTGTGAGCTTATTCAAAAGGAAGCCCTACTGACTTCAGTGGAACTTGTTTCCAGACTATATTACAATATCAAATATAGTATATTTGGTATTGTAATCTAGTCCTGCCAATGGCTTTTTCCACTGTAACATTAGGTGTTTTTCAACTTCTGTTTTCAAAAGTCATGAAATTCAATAATCCAAAAAACACATAAAACCCTCTGATTTATGATATGGAATAGTAGTTCTGTGCCCGTGATTCAAAATGCTAGAAAGCAGTATGACACTGTCTTAAAATATTGTGCCTGCACTGTCAGCAGGAAAAATGATGTGAGGCTGTATATAGCAATGGCCAGTGTGAATGATGACACTAATGTCAACAGTCAAGATGGTCTGTAGGATTCCCTCTTGTGTTCACCCTCATTCACAAGTGGATAATAAACAATGGAAAATCTCAAGCTGACTCTCTTTTTCATCATTATTCAAACACAAAGCAACGGTGATAGCCGTATGTTTGACAAGTTTGCTTTTATAGATTACAATTAACTTGATGTACCCAATATTCATTCTTATTTATTTTTAGAGAGTGGTGTTTTTTTTAAACTTCATTGACTTTAAACTTATAATATCTAAGTTGTTAGCTGCTACTACTGTATCCTCTGGATGTCGGTAACTACTCTCTTTACAATTATGCCATAATTTGAGTCAGCAAGTGTTGCTCTTAAGATGTTTTCAGATACAAATAAAGACAAGAGTATATATCCTTGCCACAGTCCTCTTCATATATCTGTGAATTCTTGCAACTGATCTTGAGCTTTTATTGCAGGGTTTTTTTTTGTAGTGCAATTAGTTGTACAAATATCCTTTTAACCAAGGATAACCTTCTGTTTGTGAACAATTCCATGAGCTTGCTCTGTTGGACCTGTCAAACGTTTTCCTTGTCTTAACCATTTTTAGAAGTGATCTGGTTTAATTTTAAAACTTCAAAGCTGGAAGGGACCCTATGGATCATTGAGTCTATCCCCTGTGAAGGGCATAGCAAGAAATCAAAGTCACAACCTCTGGCTCCACAGCCAGACACCTAAATCACTGAGCTATACCTGGTACTGCATCTTGGAACAGCTATGCAAAGTGTCCTCAGCTGCTAATAGGGTTACCTTCTTTTTTACTGTGTCAGAGGTATTATAATTTTCTAATTTATTCAGTTTTTCAAAAAGCCTTCAGTTTATGAATGTGGGATATTGTGCTGCCGTATCCATGATTCAGAATGCCAAGAAACGGCCCTGCGGTATCCATGATTCAGAATGCCAAGAAACGGGCCTGCATTGCTGCACAATATGGTACCTGTGTTGCCAGCAGGAAAAAGGATACAGTACAAAGTTTTACATAGCAAAGTGCAGCTCGAATGTTGAAAACACCGATGACAGTAGACAAGATCATCTACTGCAGGATACCCTCTTGGGCTCACTACCATTCACAAAGTGACATCAAACAAGAGAAAATCCCAGAAACTGACTCTTTTTTTCTGTGACATCAAACAAGAGAAAATCCCAGAAATGGACTCTTTTTTCCCCCATCAATTCTCACCCAAACACAAAGCAATTGTCATGGCTGTTTTTCGACAATGACCCAAACACAAAGAAATTGTCATGGCTGTTTTTCAACAATATGAAGGGCTGTTTTCGCTTCAACGAAATGGTGAAGCAAACATGTGAGTGAAACACATGCAATGGAGAAAGATACACACCCTTTAACCTCTCAGGTAAACAAATATCATGCCCACTCCAGAGAATGCAGACAGCTATCCTATCTTCCAATTTCATTGGGGTAGAAGAAGAAGCTTTATAGGTTCAGAAGGTCTATGAACATGTTGTGTGCATATTTTCCAAAGATGTCCCTTTATGTTTTGAAATAATAAAAAGTGAGATCTGGGAGTTAGCAAAGATTATCATTGGAAACCAGTTTCAAAATCATACGTACTGCATGAAGAAAAAGGCAGTGAAGATAGAAAGGGGACAAAAATCAACTCATTTGAAATGTGTCGGAGGAGAGCCTTACAAATACTACAGACAAGCAAAAAGGTAGAAAATGGGTGCTTAATCAATTTGGAACTCTCACTACAGCAAAAATGAGTAAATGAGGCTATCCTGCCACACACATACGATGAAAATACAGGACTGATCAGAAAAGACAATATTGCTGGGGAAGGTGCAAGGTTCAGTGGGAAGAGAGGAAGACCTAATATGAGGCAGATTGATTCAGCAAAGGAAGCAACAGCTGTTAGTTTGCAAGATTTGAGCAAAACTTACTGGAAAAGACAATATGGTCAGAAATGGGGCAGTAGGAAGAGAGAACAATATGATGTGATATGCTGTTGGTTTGCAGGATTTGAGTTGAACTGTTAATGATAAAACACTTGGGAGGTCATTAACTTATATAACCATCAGAAGTGACTTGATGGCACATAACATCTTTGAAGCTATTAATTGTACAGTGACAAGAGGAGTGAAATGGTTGAAACTTTTAGAGGGTATAGGCACCAAAGCTCTGCTGATGACGAATAAGACTATCCTCAGCCACAAAGCAAAAAAAGAGTATCTTCACAACTTAAACTACTGAGCTTCTGGATATTTGTTGTCTATTTTTAAAGTATCTTCTAAAATATTTTTAGAACCAGACATGGAATCCCTTTCTCATCCCCGAATGCCTGTTTGGCCAGGAAAGAGTTAAAGGCTTCTCCTAATGAGAGTCAACTAATTGGGTCCTGACTGACATGGTCAAAAGTTCAGGCCTGGAGCTAATTTCCCCTTGGAAGACTTGTGTCAGGAGCCTGGTCTTAAATCCTGAGAGAACATTTACTGAAAGCACTCAGGCCTATGACAGACAACTGCTCTGTGCTTTTGTAATGCAGAAATACTAAGAAAGACTTACAAAATTGTTTGCTAATTCTCTGGGGATACATGACAAAATGTCCCTTTCTAGAGAACTATCACTCTATTATTTTATTTAAAGCAAGCTTGTTTTTTTTAATTCCTTAAAGAAAATCCCCACCATTTTATCTACTGGCTTACTGGCTTTATCTACTTCATTCCCTGCTATCTGTTCCTCATCTCTAGAGTGAGCAGATAAAAGACAGCAGCAGCTGGCAGAGAATATCTCATCAATGAAGCTAGAGAATTAAAAATCATAAATTCATAGAATCATTGAGTTGGAAGAGGCCTGCTAGACCATTGAGTACAAACCCTACTCAATGCAAGAATTCAAAGCAAAGTAGATTTGACAAATGGTTGTCCAATTTTCTTTTGAATGCCTTCAGCATTGGAGCGCTCACCACCTCCCAAGGTAATTGGTTCCATTGTCATACTGCTCTGACAGATAAGAAGTTTTTCTTGATATTCAGACTAAATCTGGTTTCCTGTAGCTTAATCCTATTATTATGTGTCTTGAACTCTTGGATGATTGAGATCAGATCCTGCTGCTCC